ATTTTAATAGCACGAGTGATGTGTGAATATTTCCCCCTCTCATCAACCCCTCTCCCCATCAACTCTCGGAGCGCTCCGATCGTAAGTCATCCACCCTGAGGGTTAGGTTTCCTGTACAGAAAGCGCGTAACGGGAACCATAACATGCAAAATTTCTCGTGCGTTTCGGTTAAAATGAGTAGTCCTATCGTCTATAGAGTGAAATTTCATCAAAAATAACAGCAAAATAAGGGCGTTTGAGATATTTTTGCGACTAGAGGCTTCTGCTTTGTTATGGTTCCGCCGAATGGGATAAGGTGCTCACACTGGCCCACACGGGCCCAAGACGGCTATTCGGACTGCCTCGACACTCGGCGTGTGCGCCGTGGACGTCCCCGAGCGGGGTGGCGGGGTGCGACCCGGTGTCGCCCCCCGGTGCAGTAAACAGGCGGGGAATTACGTCATACTCCTTCGTTAGGGGAGGCGGCAGGCGAGCGCCAAGAGGAGCCTGTGAAGCCGTCGCGAGGCCTCGCGTCGGCTCGAACCTCTTCCCCGGCGTCCGGCCGGCGGCGGCCGCGACGGCCGCGGCGGCGGCAGTGGCCTAATGCATCCCCCACAGGGTCGCTGTCCAGGATAGCCTGATAGCCTCCCAAAGCCTCGAGCCGCGCGTGAGCCGATGACGAAAAGCGAGTGGACCGAAGGACACGACACGCGTGTGGCCGTCAGCTGCCGCCCTTCACGCCGAGTGCGCCGGTGCGCGCGGCCTGGCTGGTCGAACCCCCTGCCAATAACACCAAGGGCAGCCCAGGGGCGCGGTGTGGCGTGGCGGGAGGACCGGCTCACGGCTCGCAGTGCCAAGAGCAGCACAGCCCGGCACAGCCCGCTCACACCCGCCTGTTTACTGCGGCGCGCTTAGCCATACTCTCTCGGTGCAGCGAAGGCTCGAGCGAAGGGCCTAAAGCCCCTCAAGAGATCGCGCTGGCGGAGCAGAGAGACGCCGCCGCCGCGTGTCGTCTGCTTGGGGGGGGGGGGCGTCTAGTAGTGACGGAGGTCGGGGGAAGACGACGGCAGGCGCGATTGACGCACTGCCTAGGGCACACCGGCCAACTCTGCAAAGCCCGCCGCTGATTGGCCAAGGCCGGTGGGCGCGTCTCACCACGTACCCCTGCCCCCACCCCTCCTGGTCAGGACTCGTCGCTGTTCAGCAACGAACACTAAAACCGTATTATCTCGCACATCAAATATGCTATGAAACTCTCGTATCGTGCAGACATTGTTTTATGCAAATGCCCACGGCACGGCCCGTGCATCTCGGCTAAATGTTTCGCGCGTTATTTGAAATAATAAGTTAAAATTTCAAAATTTTGAAAATATAAATTAAAATTTCTACTGCACCTAAAAAAAGTAAGAAAAGATCACAAATGATCAGTAGCGCTGGCCACCTTCAAAGAGAAAATGGAACAGAGTAAAATACGAAAGAGGACACTAAAGGATGGGGCACTTGCTTTTGCCCCACCCTACTGATCGGACTAGACAATATTTCAAAACTAGTTGGAATCTTTTTCTTGACTCTTCATGGTAATTCACTCATCTCGGGTGACCTGTTCGGTTTCTCGCTACGATTTTTCGACTGCATGCGCAGCATGCACGTGTACAGGGAGTACGAGTTCTTGACAATCTGTGAAGAAAACCCCCAAAAGCAGCAAAGAATCATAGAGAATTAACGTCATTTTACAAACAAAGGAAAACCGAGGAGAGAGACTTTTCCCGCGAAGCTTCTCACAACTTACATCGACGTAGGTCGAGTAGTTGAGCCGGACCATCTTGAAGCCGGTGAGCGCCAGCGGCCGCTGCGCTCGCAGCATCAGCATCTGCATGTTGACGTGGAAGGCGTGGCCGGCGTCCGCCCAGTGGGAGCGCGCCGCCACCACGGCCAGGTGCTTGCTCTGGGGTAGCAATTTTAATTTTCCAGAAAAGTATTTTTGAAAAAGTACTCAAGAATTTTTAAAAATGCTTGAATGTTTTCCTTGGCAGTTTTATTTTTTTTCAAAATTTTCCCCCATTTTTTTCTAAAAAAAAGTTTCCAATATTCCGGAAAAAAAAATCGGGCTGCATGATTCCCTACTCTTGGGGGAGCGAGCTTTGTTAATGCCACATCTCACTTTTGTCACAGCGTCTCGACGGTTATCCCCCTCTAGTCTCACCTTGGTGGCGATGTTCTCCCCGCTCCAGCACAGGATCCAGAGCTGCAGCAGCAGCCACAGCAGAAAGTTGATCATGGGGATGCCCTCGTCCATGGAGGGCTGCGGGCCGCGCATGACAAGCAAATCGATACCTGTGTCACCCGACCCACTCTACTCTGAACGGCACTGCACGGGTCGTGTCGTCCGTCGCTCGATCCCTGCGTAGGTGCTGCCTGGAGCACCCTGAGCCACTCACCGGCGCGGCCGTCAGGCGATACCCCTGGAGGCAGATGGTGGCCAGGGACTCCATGAGCTGCGCCAGCGACAGGGACGACAGCGCACGCTCCAGGTTGTCCACGAACCTGCAGTCAGCCGGATGCACCCCGTGGGAGGCGCGGCGCGTCACTCGACCTCCCCCGAACCCCTACCCCGCCCCGCCCCGCAAGATTGCCACGCGTCAGGAATATCAGGAAAGTGTCAGCATTTGGAAATGTTAGGAAGCTGTCTGGAAAGCGGGTTACAAGTGTCAGGAAAAGTGGTTTCAGGTCGCTTCAGGGTGCGTTAATTGCGAGATAATTGCGCCTTGCAGCCCAAGAAGAGACAGTGAGTGAGCGCCGCGGTAGCGCACCCTAGCCTACCTAGCTTTGAGCTTTCCGGGCCGGACCCGGGCACTCTCTTAAAATGTCAGGAGAAACTGTAGTTTTGTCAGAAAAAAAGGTCAGGAAATTTTGAAATTGGAAGTCCGTGGTGCGGTGGTCCCCGCCCGCACCTGATGATCTTCTGGTGGATGATGACGGCCTCTCGCAGGCGGCGCTGCCGCTCGGCGCGCACCTCGGCCGCGGGCCGCGGGCCCGTGTCCTCCTCCAGGGTGACGAGCAGCCGCGTCAGGTTGTCGATCTTGGCGCCGAGCAGCAGGCTGAAGGTGAGGATCATGGTGTCGAACACGGTGGTGTGGATGCCGGACATGAGCGCGGCCGAGACGGGCACGCAGCTGTACAGGAGGAAGGGCAGCCCCGTGGAGACGCGCGCGCCGAACGGGTCCCACATGGGGATGCGCACCTGGCCGCGCAGCTCAGCGCGGAAGTACATGAAGATGTAGGTGGCGTCCACGGAGAGCAGCACGAGGTAGTAGCGGCCCGTGACCTGCGGACCAGAGGAACCCACTCGCACGGAAAAAACAAACAAAAAACGATTAGCTAGCTAAGCCGATAGGTAAATGAGGGATAACTAACTATTTAGCTTCATAGCTAATTTTTTAGCTACACACCAAATTTTTTGGCTAGCTAACTCATTAGCTAGCTTGCTATAACTGATTAGTTAGATTGCTCTCTTTTTATCTGAATTGTTATCTCGAGTTAGCTACATAGCTAAAGAATTAGTTGTTTCCCCTATGTAGCTATTGTTTAGCAATCTAGTTTTTTTTCGAGCGGCTCCGCTCAGCCCCTACTGCCCGGGTAGGTTTCGTGTCCTGTGAAGGGCCGCACCTTGGACGCCAGGTTGTTGACGGCCTCCTCGTGGTCGCGGCAGGCGCGCTGCAGCGGCGCGTACGACACGTTGAGCTCGTGCCTGAGCGAGTACACGAGCCCGTTGATGACCCGCTTGTTCTTGAGCAGCACGAAGATCTTGTAGCAGGTGAGGTAGACGACGAGCACGTCGCAGGCCGCGCCCATGGCCAGGTCGACGTCGTCGCAGTTGAGGAAGCCCACCGTGTACGCGCCGCACGAGTAGAAGAAGAAGGCGTGCGCGACGGTGCTGAGCACGACGTACACGCCGAGCAGCGCGGGCGGCAGGCCCTCCGGAGGCCAGATGCCCGACAGCGCCAGCAGGATGTAGTTGAAGGCGAACATGTCGATGGGCTTCTCCGGGCCGCCGGGGTCGGCCCCCCCGCGGGGAGGGCGGTCGTCGTCGTCACCGACCTCACCGGCTGCCATCGCGGTCTCGGACTGGAGCCGACCTCCCTTCGGCCCTAATGTGATATAGAGTTTTCCCCGCGTTTTCCCCCACCACGCCCGCTTGCGGCCACCTATCTCTATATCACCTTATTCGGCCCCCGAGGGGCTCATCAGAGCTGCGAGGGGCGCGCCGCGGGGCGCGGGGCGTACGCCAGGCGTAGGCAGACGGACTTCACTATTTCAGGAAACGGGCCGGCTCGCCATGCGGTCGTCAGCTAACCCCATCATCAGACCGGCCGCCATCACCTATGCAAAGAGCCGCGCCGCAGGACGCGAGTTATGCACTAATGGAGAGAAGGCGACCCGGAGAAGTCGAAAGAGCATGTCATTCAACCAGGAGGCCGGCGCCTCGGAGCGGGTGCGCACACGATCACCCTGGAGTCGCTGCTCGTGTTGTTGGGGGCCGCGTAGGTGTCGAAGGCGTTGGCACAGCACTTCGCCACGAGGGACTTCCCCTGAACTTGTGGCGAAGGCGGCTGGACGCCTGCTCCCTGGCGTGCATGTTGTACTTGTACAGCACACTGATGGGCCGGGCACCACGACGGTCAAAGCGACGCACCTCGCTCCGCATGGCCTGGTAGCGCTTTCGACTTCTCCGGGTCGCCTTCTCTCCATTAGTGCATGTATACTGTAAATCAACAGCAACTGTGCGACTTAAGGTGCCCGACACTAAAACCTGTGCGACTTAGTCGCACAGCTGCTGGACACCTTTTGGTTTGGCATCCTTTTCCCTGCACAAGGGTCCACGCCAAGCCTAGGTGTCCTAGGTGTGGGTGTAGGGTGTCCTGTCCTGCAGGAAAAAGGCGTCAAACTACAAGGTGTCCAGCAGCTGTGCGACTTAAGTCGCACAGGTTTTAGCGCCGGGCACCTTAAGTCGCCCAGTTGCTGGACACCCCGGATTTACACACTGAAGTACAGTTCATATCTTTACGGTCTGTCCAGTAGAAAAAGAAAAAAACATATGGGAAGGACCGTAGGCAAACCTTTTTTCCTCACGGAAGTTTTAACAATGCGGGTAGACGTAAACTCTCGATTTTCCAATATGTCTCGAGTCGTCATGAAAACTGCACTTGTTTCGAGGACAATGTACTTTGTAACAAGTACGAAGTCATAAAGCTCTCGGGAGAGACTGTTTACCTGCGGGTGTTCGCAAACAGAGCATTTTATCTAGGTGTTGGCCATTACTCCACTAAACCCAAAAAGTTTCACTTTTTGTCCGTCTATGCACGATAACCTGAGAACGAATTGAGGTAGCGATCTGAAAATTTCAGGGTCGTTTTGTAGCACTCCAAGGCAGATCGAGTTCAAAGGTGAACTTCGTAGCAAAAAAAGACCTCTCAATTTGCGCAAATACAACAGGTCGCAAAAAAAGAAGTAAATAAAGTAAAATGTTCGTGTTCGCTTTCTGCCCGTGGGGGTCGTGTATACCTATAGACATTTTATTTTCCACATGTTCACTTGTTCCTTTTCAAAGCGATTATGTCATCACGAAATCGAAAGTCGTCGACAAGTGGCAGTAGTACACACTGTCCTCGCTGTATGCGGAGAACCCGTTTATTTTTTTAAAGCCCATATTTGGATGCATCCAATGGGCTGCGTCTCTCCGGCGTGGTTTAGTTTCTTTTCTTTACCCATGTTCGCCTGACCTGTAGATCGTGCGTGTGACGGTTGGTTGACGATGGATAGGATCGGGTCTTGCAAAAAAAAAAAAAAAAAAAAACAGATGCGTGCGGCTGACGACGTGAGACGATCGACTCAATGAAAACCAACACACGTTCGATACCGGTTCTTTACGTTATCAAGCCAATAACATGGAGTTCACGCACGGTCATGGACGGGCACAGTTCATAGGAGAGCAAACAATCATACATGACGCTTGTGCATTTTGCGCTGCTTTGCGCCAATGAACTTTACACGTAGACAAGGAGTTTTGGCATAGCAGCCGACTGCGAAAAAAAATAAAAAATACCATGATGACACCGCTCTCCCCTGTTTCATCAGCTGTTCCTCTCCTGCCGGTTTTATAATGCGACTTTTATCTTGGCGAAACCCGCATGATCCATTCTTGGGTCGAGTGGTCAGGTGACGACGTAGTCAGACGTAGTAGTCCTGCCGTCGCACCGGCTGCTGACCGAAGGGTTGGCCGGGCCGAGGCGGCGGCTGGGGCAGGCCCGGGCAGGGTAGGCCGACCCGGCGCGCACGCCAGTGCTGCAGACCCGGCGCTTCGCGCTCGTGCTGTACGTCATGTCAATGCCTTCTCCTCCTCCCCTCCCCCCGTAGATAAGGCATGCACGACAGGGAGCTGACCCGAGTCTTCGCGACGTGTCCTTCTGTGCTCCAGTGAATAACTCAACTATCCGCCCCCCCCTCTCTCTCTCCCTCTCTTTCGCTCTTTCTCGCTGACAGGTCGGCACGTGGCCGTGTGCTCCTGGTCTAACGTGATGACGCTTATTCCGACTTCCGAGCAGATAAAGTACCGAAATGGGCAACAAGTGTTGTTATCATCTAAGAAAAGATGGTAATAATTGTTCACAAGTCGTCCACATCACGGTACGGTGCATCACTTCACCGATCTGATAAAGAGCAGATTTTCCATGTAAAGTGTGCGCTAAGTAGTTCAACCTACGTTCCCACGGAAAAAACAGATTCGCTGTGCCAGCTAATACATTGGCTGGTATTTGGACAGATAACCTGATAAGTTTCTGGAAATACTATATGAGCTATTGTAATCGATTATTGACTGTAGCAGTCGATTATTGACTCTGGGAAATAATATGCAGATTGTAGGAACATTGGTTCCCAGAGTCAATAATCGACTGCTACAGTCAATAATCGATTACAACAGCTCATATAGTATTTCCAGAAACTTATCATGTTATCTGTCCAAATACCAGTTAATGTAGCTGGCACAGCGAATCTTTTTTTCCGTGCCGTTTGTAAAATTTTGTGTATGATTTGCACAAAAGTGTTCAAATCGAGGGGGCAATAACTCCCTTTTGATGTGTACACATGATTCCCGAAATACTTGATTCCCAGTGATTCCCGTCCGCTTATATTTATTCCTTAGGTTTTATAGTGGTAGAAAACGCTTATTTCGACTAATTTGTATCAGTTCCGCTGGTTTCCAGCTTATTTTAAGCGATTTATGTTGATTTCGATAAATTTTTAACCTGATGATTCCCAGGCAGGTGTACACATGATTCCCGGAGTTCTTGCCCCCTCGGTTCAAATCAACGCAGAAACGCGTGAAAAAATTTGATTTTACTTAGTGTGTATTTGGTACACCTAACTGTTGACTTGTTTCTTGTTCCAGACTGCCTGACGCTCAACTGTCGGCAGGTCCTCAACCTGATGGTGTTCTTCGGCTTCATGTTCAACTACATGCTGCGCGTGAACCTCACCATCGCCATCGTCGAGATGGTGCGGGGCAACAACGCCACCGTTGCCAATGCCACCGACTCTATGGAAGCGGTAAGCACGCGTGCACGTTCTCTCTATCTCCCTCTCTCTTTCTCTCTTCCTCTCTCGGTCCTCGTCCTTGTCCTTGGCAGCCAGCCCGCCCTAGAGGCTGTCCTTGGAGCCCGTCCTAGAGCCTGGCACAAAGCCTAGTCCGTGTCGTGCCCGCCACATGCCCACCATCGCCATGCTCACAATAAGACTAAACTATACCTACCTCTCCCTAACTTCGTTCTTAGCCCATTTCTACGGCCCCCAGAAAAGGGTGACTCTTTACGAGGCCGACTTCCCTGCAAAATCTGGTTGCTGTAGCTCAAACGGTTCCGGAGATATGGACAACCGAAATACCCGTCACGGTCAGCTAAAACCATCGTGAATCCTAGTCTATATATGTCCCCCGCAAGGTGCATCGCTCCTAGCGAGGTTTGCGTGCAACACCTACCTCAAAAACGTTCCTTTGTTCGGGTCGTTGGCGTCACGTCGCTGGCAGGGCGGCCGGCACCGGACGGAGGGCCCCCGCCGCCCGCCGCCGCCTCGTAAGTGATGGTGTGATGGTGATGTGGCCCTGCCCCGTCTGCCTGTGTGTGTCTCCTCCCCCAATAACAGAAAAAGAAATATACGCCTGCATTGCCCTTGAAAATTAAAAAGCTAGCCTATATCCCTATTTCCGTAAAAGCAAAGCGTTCATTTCTTTCATGCTACTTTAGTTTTTGGTCGCGGCGTTCACCTCAGTTGACCGTGGCTTCTCCCACGTGGGGGAGGGGGACTCATTCATGAGGCTCTGCTCACGTAGTATGACCGCACCGAGTGGGGAGGGGGGAGGGGGGGGGGCTAGCTTTGGGAACAATCCTTTTGCATTTCCTGCACTGGTCGCTAGGTGGGCCGCCCGCTCATTTGCCACCGGGGCGGGCGGGGCAGGGCTGGGCAGTTCAAACCGGCGGCGGCGCGCGCAGACGTGCCGCAGGTGGAGTCCAGCGACCAGCAGGACCTGCAGGAGGTGGGGACCCCGCCGCCACCGCCGGCGCCAAACGGGTCAAGGTGTGCACCACTCGTTCTCACACACACATATACACACACACGAATACACGCACGCTCGCACGCGCGCACGCACGCACGCACGCACACTCACACACACACACACACACACACACGACGCATACGCTCTCTTCCGGAGCCCCCTCTCCCCTTATTCTTATTTCCTCTTATTGCTACTGCCTGCCACTGCTCCCCAAGGTGTTTCTTCTGCACCCAAAAAACAGCGTGTTCTTGAATGAAGCAAATGTGCTCGGCCGAACCAAGAACATTGTCTTTGTTCCAAAGCGAAATTGCATTGGTGAAAATGAAAATTGCAATGCCCTGATGCAAATGTTCTTGAGAAATCAGGGGTCAAGAACATATGCTTTCCTGGTTGTGCTCCCCACAACTTAGTCAAACTCAACTTCCGAGACAGTCTCAAACTTTAAAAAACAAAATAAGGCAGCCTTGTCTCACTGCACCACCACGCCACCACGTGATACAAAGGAACAAGATGTAAACGTAGACTCGCTCGTCGTACTAAACGTAGACTCGTCGTACTTGACAAAGTGCGCCACTGCATCACACTCGAGTGCGCCGGCTGCAGCCGTTTCTCTCTTCGCGCCACTATCTCGCCGGTGCAATAATCCCCCCCCCCTCTCCTCGTACTCCTAATCTCACCCAAACAAACCTCATTTAGACGTGCGGTCCTGATGGATCTAATTCTGGAGCGCGACGCGCTGCGCTCTTTCTCTGCCTCGCATCGCTGGCGCAAAGTCAGTTCCTCCACAACAATATACAGTGTCGCAAGCGGCGAGCGCGGCCGGCCGGGGACGGTTCAACGGTGGAAAAATTAAAACAATTATCTGATGGTCATCCCGGTTGATCGGCAGCCCCCCGACCCACGCCACCGCCCCCGCCGCCGCGGGCGATAGCGCGCGCGGCCGCCGCGCCCGCCATGTCGACACTTTGCGGCCGGCCGGGCCGGGGGCCGCGGGGGCGGGGGCCGCGTAACCCGCGCACCGCGAGCAGGGGAAGCCCACCAGCCCACACGGCGCGCCTCGCCCCCGCCGCCCTGCTCGGGCAGCCCTTTCCACGCACACCTCGGTGAAAGCACGGGGGCGATAGAGTTGACGACACGCCCACTAATCAGATCAGCAATCAGCACGTGATTATGTATTTAAAAACAGCGAAAGAATCAGCTTGTTTGATACGGCGGCGTCCCATCATTGCTGATAACCTGCAGATATGTACTCCCAACAGGTCGCGCAACACACACACACACACGCACACACACACACACACACACAATTGCAATATTTCAAAAATAAAAAGAATTGTGTGGTCAGAACGATCACTCACTCTCTTACCTCACTTTACCTCACCTCACTTCACCTCACCTCACTTTACTTCACTTCACCTCACCTCACTTCACCTCACCTCACCTCACTTCACCTCACCTCACTTCACCTCACCTCACTTCACCTCACCTCCCTTCACCTCACATCTTCACCTCACCTTCCTTCACCTCACCTCCCTTCACCTCACCTACCTTCACCTCACCTCCCTTCACCTCACCTCCCTTCACCTCACCTCCCTTCACCTCACCTCGCCTCACTTCACCTCACCTCACTTTACCTCACCTCACCACAGACAGACAGTCAGTGGGGTAGGCTTGGGATCGCGCCCGTCCGCCTGTGTGTGTGTGTTTGTGTGTGTGTGTCCGTCTCCTGTTTTCTAATCACTCTTATCAAGTCCTCCCACTAATCCGCGGACGCGTCGCTGATCGTCAGACTAACGGACGACAAGGTACTTTTCGAAAGCACTTGG